ATCTACACTATGGAACAGGGGAAATGGAAGAAGGAAGGAGGGAGGTGGGTAAAATAACACCTGAAAAAGCCACGAGGGATCACATTATTAACTGCTTGCCAAAAGAAAAAAGAACAAAAACCCTACTACATATAACTTCTGTGCACAGACGTACATACATAGTTTAAAGAACCTTTCTCCTCTGGGCTGACAGTGCTTCCTCCAAGAGCCAAAGATCATCTAATAAAAGCCCCAAAGCTAGACATGATAAGTCCTCTTTTGTGTTGTTGGTCAGGGCTGGCCAAGAACTCACAACATAGAGACTACTGCTAATGACCTTGGTTAACCCCAAGAGGTAGAGGGTAAGCCTCTCTTGCTGAAGACACCACATACTGATAAAGGAGGACCCAGAGACTGCTGAGCTGGAACTGATCTGAACTCCCCCTCCCTGAGCACAGGCTTTCATGATACTGCAAGGCACCATGCAATCTTCCAAGGGAGGGAGGCAACCGACAGTCCCACCCAGCTATGATGCCTATGACCATGGCAATGACTGACACGGCACATGTGTAGCAGCACACATATCTTGGCATTAACCAACAGCTCTCTAATTGGATGTCTCCCACAAGAGGGAGACATGCCTGGTACTGGAGACCTAGCTAATTACTCAGTGCTCATAAAGTCACGGTCATTGAAGGAAAATCGAAAACTACTAATTTACTAAGACAGTATAAACTCTAACAACAGTCTCTAAACTTTTGTCATTATACCCTTAGTTTAGGTTTCTATTGCTGTGAAGAGACACCAGGAACATGGCAACTCCTATAAAGGAAAACATTTAAGTGGGGCCTGCTCACAGTTTCAGAAGTTTGGTCCATTATCACCACGGCAGGAAGCATGGCGGTGTGCAGGCAGACGTGGTGCTGGAGAAGAAGCTGAGTTCTCAACTGGATCAGCAGGTACCAGGAAGACCTCACTTTGTGTGGCTTGGGTTTCTGAGACCTCAAAGCCCATTCCTAGTAACACACCTCTTCCCACAATGCCACACCTATTCCAACAAGGACAGACCTTCAAATAGTATATTCCCTATGGCCAAGTACTCAAACAGGTGAGTTCTATGGAGGCCAATTCTATTCAAACCACCACATACCCATGGGTAAGTACAGCCTTTGTCCCTTATCAAGAAAATTTCTCTTTGTGGAGACTACCAAAGAAAACAACATACAATCCAAAGGCAGAGTCCTGGAGCTCAGTCCCAAAATACATATCCTCAAAATACTCCTGCACTCAAGGCTCAAGGAACATTGAGAAAGAGTAGGAAGAAAGACTGTAGAAGCCAGAGGATCCAGGAGTTTGCTTTGAGATTGCCTGTCTTAGCAATGTCAGAAGCTATACCCATTAAAGTCTTACCAACATAACAGGCCACATGTGAGCTGAAAGAGTTTACACCAACAAACATGCCAAACTGGATGGAGAAAAGCTCATGAGGCCTCAGCCCTAGGGAAAGACCCATTGGTGAGGGAAGAGCTGGGAAGCAGAGAGGCAGCAACCCAGAAGACCACACCAACTGCTGTCCAGTACTAAATGGTCAGCCTTGAAAACCTACATTCAGGTAGCATTATATACACTGAATAGGTTACATTTCAGAATATACATACACAATTAAGAATATATATATATATAACATATACATATTGGTTTAAAAGAAAGTATGAATTTGTAGGAGAGCAGGGAAAGAATCCCTGATTGTGCTACTTGCCTGGTGAACAGAATTCTACAGGTTTAAGAAAAAATTCCAGGGATGGGGAGAATGTCCTAGACTCTTGGGTTGAGTCCAGTGTAATCACAGGGTCCCTGCAGAAGGAAGGAGGATGGCTAGAATCAGAGTCTGCAGATGATCTACTCTGACTGGGAAGATGAAGGCTGCACCTGCGGCCAAGGAATGCAGGTGGGTTGTTAGATCCAGGAACTAGATTCTCTCCTAGAACTTCTAGGAAGAACACAGCCCTGATGATATCTTGATTTGAGGACTTTTGAGTGCTGGAACTCTGAGAGAAGCAATCTTTACTCTGTAAGTCTAATTTTAGGTTAGCATTTTAACTTACAGAGTATGTAAACAAAAGTGAATAAAGTAATAGCTAAGTCTCCTTGGGAAGATGCGGAGTAGCAGGACAAAAAGGATTAGCCTATTTAAGGGTCAGGTTTCTTCTTTCATAGCAGAAGTGAAGGAGGCAGTGCGAAGACAGTCCTCTGTGTAGACAATATATTGTGAAAATGAAGTCATTTCTCAGCAAGAGCTATTGTAATCTCCATGAATTATGCCAGGTCAGCAGCAGGTCAGGGCTTGGACACAGGTTACCAGACTTCATTTCAATACAGCTTTTACACTGTTCTGTGAGCCCCTAAATTTGTAGTAAGCAATAGGAGAGAAGCCACAGATAAACTCCTATGTTTAAGCAAATGGAACAAAATTTGTATAGACTACTTGAGGTGTGGCACAGTCCCTCTCTTCATTCATGTTTGGTTCCCAGCACCCATGTTAGGCAGCTCAGTGCATTTTTTTCTGGATAAAACAGCATAACCAAGTGCAACATCAGGAAGAAAGCCTTTATCTGGGCTTACAGTGCTGGGGAGGCATGGCGGCAGCGGCCAGAGACACTGCATCTCCACATCAAATGTGAAGCAGAGAGAGTGCACCACAAGTGGGCAGGCTACGTGCCCTCAATGCCCACGGACATGCTTCCTCCAGCAAGATCACATGCGGTCTGAAGACTGCACCACCAACTGGGGTTAAGTGTTGGCCTCTGTGGGCCACAGGGAAATTTCTGCTAACTACCACCACACTGTGATGCTTCTTTCTTGTTGTTTTGTTTTTCTGTATAGCCTTGGCTATCCTAGAACTTGTAGACCAACCTGCCCTGCCTCCCAAGTGCTGGGACGGAAGGCATGTGCCAGGATTGCCCGGATTCTACACATTTTCTTTTAGGAAGTCCCTTACAGAATGCATAAGTTAACATCAGGCACCGACAGAGGACAGACTTGACGTTTAATAAATGTCAGCCATCTTTAATGTTAATTACGCTAACTTCCTGCCTCCCACCCCACAGTAAATACCTTTACCCTTGTCATTCAGTCTCTATTCAGATCCTCCATTTTCCTCTTCCCAACATGAATCATCAGTTTCACACACCCCACATCTAACTGACAATGCCACCACCTCTAATTGATTACGTCTAAATCGGCTATTAAAGTGTAACCCCTTTAACTCTCCTACACTGTGCTAACAATGCTTGATTCCATCTTATAAAGAGTCCCCTGAGTCTACTTTTCTCCTCCTGCCTTGTGCTTTCACCCAGTGCCTCAGCTTTCTTGGCTTAACATCTTATTCTCAGTTCTGCCATCTCTCTCCATTCTTCCTCTCTTTCATGTCCACAGAAAATTGTCTCAACCTCACTCATCTCCAATTACCTTGTGCTCTGCAACCTTTCCCTCCCTCATTCACATGTATTTTAAAACTTGTAGTATCAATTTCTAAGATCAAAACTCAGTAAGTACGGTGGTGCATGCCTGAGTCCCAGCACTTGGGAGACTGAGGCAGAATCGTAAATTCAATCCAGCCTGGCCTCCCAAGTGAGACAGTAACCCAGGTACACACAGAGTCCAAACTGTTGAGCAGTCCCACCTTCTCCACACTGCCCACCGCCATCCTACCTTTTTCTCTCATTTGCCCATGCTGGGAGCACTAACCACCACTCTCAGGGCTGACACGCTGCACTGTGCTGTCCTTGTGCAAAGTGAGGCACTTCCTTTTTCTGCTCCAGCTACACTCGCCTCCTATCTTCTTTGCCTCTAGCATACTGAACCCTAAAGACCTTTCTCAAGACAGAAGCCATTGTCTCTTTCTGTTTCCTTAGAGCATGTGACAGAGCTGGCACCACACAGTAGTCAGGCAGCCCTCATTGAAAAAGAAGCAAACAAAACGTGCAGTTTTCAAAGTATTCCGATCCTAGCACATCATAAACTTTCAAAATACGCAGGCTCCATTTTGGTTCATTTGAAGTAGCAACTCTCCTAGGATTAAAAAAATATGTTACTTGTAGGGAACATGGGTGTCACAGCATGTTGTGTGGGCAGGACAGCTTCTGAGAGCTGCTTCTTGCTTGGTGGCAAATGCCTTCACAGTGAGAGCCATCTCACTCACTCAGTGTTGAATTTTTGTCACCAATCTTCAGGTTGTCGTCTTAAAAGCCACACACAGGTACACAGACACACACACAGACAGACAGATATATAGATACACACACACAGAGACAGACAGACAGTCTCACACACACCCAGAACAGCTGGGTTGAGTGCTTGCCATCTAAACATGAAGATGTGAGTTTAGATCCCTGGAACCCATGTAAAACCTGAAGTGTAGTGCACACCTATAATCCTCGTGCACACCTATAATCCTAGCATATACCTATAATCCTGGTGTAACCTATAATCCTAGTACATACCCATAATGCTAGTGTATACATACAATCCTCGTGCACACCTATAATCCTAGCGTATGCACACCTATAATCCTAGTGCTGTGCTCCTATGGCCAGATGGGAAGCAGAGACCCAAGAATCCCTGGATGCCGTTGTGCAGGTGTAGTGGACAACAGAAACCCTGTCTTAGACAAGGTGGGAGCAAGAACTAGTTTCCAAGGCTGTCTTCTAAACGCGCACGCACACACACACACACACACACACACACACACACACACACTAGTTTCC